TTTCAGCAGAGTACTGGTTTTTTAAAAATCTACACCAAAATTGAAGAGAAGAAAATTTTCCTTCCATTATTTTTCTTAAGTTGTTTTGTATCCATTTTCTCAATGAAAAGAACTTTAACCCCTTCTAGTAGAACATTCCTAGTTTCTCCAAAGGTGGTGACCTCCTTTTGTCAAATCTCCACATGACTTTTCCTTTGGGAATCTCCAAATTGTTATGTACAAAATTAATCTAAAAACAACACTTTTATCAACTTTCCATAAAACTTATCTACCTAACTTCAAGTCACAGCAATTTTTAAAAATTATGTGAAGAAGTAAAAGATATTTTTCGGGGGATCTTAGAGTTTGTGGAAGCCCATGTTTACCTAAAGGATATGCGGTATCATGCCTTTATATGTGTACTTTGCTAAGAATAGAAAGAAATAATTTCCACGTATACTTGTAATTAGACTCAGGCTTTCTGGCCTATCTTTATGAAGAATTTGTCTGTGGCCAACTTTTGAAGTTTTGCTTCTCCACTTCACCTTTTAACCCATATTTCTGTTCTTCATTCAACTCTCAATGGCACCCAAAGCATTCATGCTGGAACCCCCTCCTTTAGGGCCACTGATTTCTATTGATGTCCCTCGATGCTTACAGCAGAGACTGCTACCAACAACTAGCCTATTTCCTCTCAATTACATATCCCAGCCTCCTCTGCAGTTAGACTGCCTCTCTGACTGAGTTCCAGCCAATGGAACGTGAGCAGAGTGACTTGCTTCACTTGCTGGTCAGGCTCTTACAAGTGGACTTCCATGCCTTTCCTTTCCTTTGGCAACACTGGAAACTGTGTTGGAAGACAGAGGAGCCTGTATATGAAAGGAAATTGGATCTCCAAGTCACCACTTATAGAAAGCCATTTTTCAGGAAAACCCATTTAGACTATATATTCTTCAGAAATAATTTTCTATCATTTAAGATAGACTGAATATCAGAATTTCACAGGTAATATACTCCACTAATCCTCAACCTCCTTTTTCCTACCAACATTTACCAACTTCAGTTCCATATTTTGTCCCCTAAGGAAAGATAAGTGATTAAATAAATTATTTAGGTAAACTATTCAGTAATTAAGAAAATATAATTATATTGTTAGAACTTTCTCCTGGATTGAGGTGACTCCTTTCTCTTTCTCAGCTTCTAATTAATTGATTTTTATATAATAAGACAGAGGTTCAGAATGTTGAGAGATAAAAAATCTGGCAACAAGAATTTTTCAGAGCTCCTCTTGCCCACCTGGAGTGGCTCAATTGATTGAGCATATTGTTCACCGAAGGGTGGTTGGTCTGATTCCCAGTCAGGGAACATACTTTGGTTGTGGGTTCAGGTTCCAAGTCAGGGCACATACAAAAGGCAACTGATTGACAATCAATGAATGGTTATCTCTCACACTGATGTTTCTCTCTCTCTCTAAGCATGTCTTTGGGTGAGGATTAAAAAAAAAAAAAAGTCCCTCTTATTCTTTATTATAATCATTTAAGAAACTATTCATCCCTGGCCGGGTTGGCTCAGCAGTTAGAGCGTCAGCCTGCGGGTCCAGAGAGACCTGGGTTTGGTTCCCACGAAGGGCATGTACCTTGGTTGCAGTTTGTCCCTGGCCCTGGTTGGTCATGTGGGTGGCAGCCAGTTGATGTGTCCCTTTCACATCGATGTTTCTCTCTCCCTCCCACTCTATCTGAACAAAAAATGGAAAAATATCCTCGGGTGATGATAAAAAAAAAAAAAAAAAAAAAAAAAAGCTGTTCAGACCTTAGCTTTCTGCTTAATGGAGATTTTTATTTTTCAAACTACTGACCATATCTGAGTTCTATTTCAGTGTTTTTATGGGTGGACTCATATTGTTATATAATGGAGGAACATATTCTCTAATCTCTTTTATTTTATTCCTGAGGAATGAATTATGATCAGTGTCAAGGTCCAGTTAGAACTCCATTACTTTGTTGGAGGCATGTTCAATGGGTAAATGACTCTGTTTTTTTTTTTATGTTTGACATATACCCAACTAAATGTATATTATTTCCTTACTCATATACAGCAAAGTGTGACCGTGAGATTAAATATCATCAGTGAAATGTAATCATGGGACTTAAATGATGCTTGCCTTAAAGGTGCTAACTCACAGACATGATGATGGGAGCTCCAGTAGCCCTCTTGGACCATGAGGTAATCTTATGAGTTGGTTGTTCATTCAGTATGATTAAGGAGAAAGGTGGAATGAGCCTGGATTCCTGACAACTTCTTGAGGCAACCATAGCAATAATTTATGACTACCTCTGTACTTCTGTTACCTAATAAAAGAAACCTTTTATCTCCATCATTTTTGAAAGTTCCCCAAGGCTTAAATTCCTTCACATTCGGAGAAAATTATTTAAAACAAAGCCCCCCCACTCCAAATAAACAAACAGACAAAAAAAACCAAACAGCATTTAAAATCTCAGCAGTAAATTGTCCCTTGGGGACAATTAAGTTCTCTAGGGGACTTATTTGGAATTCTCTGTTCTTATGGAATGCTTCTCTTCCAGGGCATAATTTCTGCCCCACCATTTCAGTGCCAGAGGCAGGACAGTGACCTGTTTCTCTTTAACTCACACACCTGCACTATGAGGAAAGCAATAAGGAGTAGCTTCTGGATTTTCTGGCTTGCCTAACCAGGCTTGGAATCTCCAACCTTTGATCCAGTTTGGGGGAGAGTGATCAGGTCCTCAGCATTTTGGGCACTTATCTAGGACAGAACTTTCACCCTCTGTATGGAGGCTGAGTGGAGGAAAGGAGTCACCAAAGTCTCAACTGCACTTGACTGGAATTTAGCCTCTATAATACAGAGTGGGAGACAGGTGAGAAATGCTGGTGATCTTCCCCTTCTGGGGATATACCACAGTCTTTGCCTGGGAGCTGGGAGGAGAAATAGCTCCACCTTATAGACCCCACCCATGAGTGTCACACTGAAATGGGATAGGAGCTAGCAGGTTGTGGCTCAGGCACCAAGTCTTACTGTTCTTACAGAGATTTGATAGGTATTTTTGAGTAAATGTTTCTTCATTTTCTATATGCCCTTAGGGCAGTTTCCTGAGACTTTAAATGGTTGTTTGTTTTTAAAGAATTTCACCAGTTATGTTTCACTGGGGAGAGGGTTTGCAGACCAACTCATGCTGGCATTCAGAAGATTTTCCCCTCCATCTGTTAATTGTTTTTAATGTTTTATTTTATGTATTTTTATTTACTCTTCTAATATATTTGCTATTTATTTTACTCTGCTTTAAGGAATATTAATTTTAACTCTATTTTTTTAATTTAGCCTTTATATAATAATGTTTTCTTCTACTTCTTTTAGGCTTTATCTTCTCATCTTTTATTTCTTCCATAAAATTTCTCTCTTCATACAAATGACTAATATAGTAAGTTATTTTTTAATAACATTCATGGTGAAATATTTGATCTAAGACTTTATCTGTTCCATCACTGCATTTTCTCATCAATTTATATTTCTGCTATTTTTTGTTTGTTTCTTTTGTCCAACTTTTTTGTATTATTTTTTTTATAGATCTTATAATAGTGTGTTTAAAAAAAATTATTTGTGATGGAGCAAAACTTTTTTCTAAACTATTTGCATGTAGTTTATATGTGCAAGTAATCAAAGTTGTATATTGCTCTAGAAGGAATTTTTCTTACAACCTAGTTTTGTGTGACTTCTTTTAACTCTCACTATCTCATCAGTGAAGTCAGAGACCTGTACGGTTTCAAACAACACAAAGTTTCTCTTCTTTTTCATCTCCTCAGAGTCAGAATTCTTCCTGCAAATGTGGCTTTTCTGGATGATTCCTCATCTCTGCTTCTTAGAACAAAACTCATTCTAAAAAATCTCCTGTGCCAATCTGTACACTGTACTCTTGCAGAAAGGACTTCTAGAATTTAGTATAGTTGGTGTGCAATAATATTTTCAGAAGAGAAGCAGAGGCCCACTGTGTAGCTAGTGGGCTAAATATTAACAGTTTTGAAGACAATGTGTTAGTGGGGGCTAGGATGAAAATAATTATAGCTTTAAAAATGAGATGTCTTATCTAATGAAACTTACTGATAATTTTCCAAATTATAGAAAGAATAGCACAAAATAGTAAAAATGTTATTGTGGGCTGGTGAAAGACAGAGTGACAGGAAATGCCAGTGGAGGCTTAAACCTGGAATAGAGGGAGAAGATTTGACTTACAGGAATTTTCCCATTTCTTTATTCTGTTTATTTGGAAGTGCTTCAAGTCAGATTGTCTGTATTAGAAATAAGAACTAGTCCTGGCCGGTTTGGCTCAGCGGTTAGAGCGTTGGCCTGCGGTCCTGAGAGACCTGGGTTTGGTTCCCGCTAAGGGCGCGTACCTCGGTTGCAGTTTGTCCCCGGCCCTGGTTGGTCCTGCGGGTGGCAGCCACTCGATGTGTTCCTTTCACATCGATGTTTCTCTCTCTCTCTCTGTTCCTCTCTCTCCCCTCTCCCTCCCACTCTACCTGAACAAAAAATGAAAAAATGTCCTCGGGTGAGGATAAAAAAAAAAAAAAGAACTAGAAGTAATCTCAGATGGAAATTATACTTATGATTTTAAATATGTTAAAGCCTTAAAGTTGTGTATTTCCAGAAAGTAGCAGTGGAGTGTAGGGGAGTCAACATTCATTCTTTTAGAGGAGAACCCATGGATAGTTCTAGAATGTTCTGTCCCTCATCACCACCATTGCTGGGCAAGGGAGAATGAGTAAATTATATCAGTGCCTTCTCATATTCTCTAACCTTTACTGTCTCACTAAACTCCAGCCTTACTCCAGCTAACAACATCTGCATTTTTTGCATGAAGGATTCTCTAAGCCAGGAACCTACATACAGAGCCATTCTGTGGTGCCACGGAATTACTGCCCTTTACCACCCCTAGTATTCCTTACTGGTTGACTGGAGTTGGAATATAAATATACTGACCTTCTTTTTTTTAGAGCGTGAACGCAGTCCCCCATTACCACAAATTATGCAGTCGAGTTACCCACGTGGGGAAATCGCAGGGGTCAGCACATCCAGAGTGCAATGGGTACGCCTCGCCCTGGGAAAACCACCTTCGTGATCACGGTATCTCCCCTGTATACTGGCTTTCTTGCCACTTGGGTAGAATGACTCTACAAAGTGTACAGTGGCTTCCAGATTTCCCCAGGGCTGTTAAGATCCAGTTACCCACTGAGATAACTCATTTAATAATAAACACTTTATTGATTGCTTTTCCTTCCATCCTTTCCCTATCTCCTTTTCCCTAGGTCTTTGAGAGGAACTTGAAGAGCAATATTCCTATTGGTGTTTCCTAGACTGTCATTTCCCCAGTAAACTACTCCCACTTCTTCTTTAAGTACATTTGACAAACTTTTATTTAGAAACATATTTAAATATATACTCTTTGCACATAGGTCTCATGGCCATTTTGCTTCTCCTATGAGGACATTGCATATTGTCTCTAGGAGATTATAAGTGGTCAGTACTATTTAAGCAGTAATGTCATCCCCCTTATATGACTTTCATATTTCTTCAATCTTTGGAATTTCTGAATATGATGTTCTACACAAAAATAATATTTTATAGCATATCATTTTTATTAATAAAAATTTTCCTCAATGTTTTGTTTATAAGTTAATTTTTTTAATTATTAATAACAATGGGCCTTACAAGTCCTAAACAGAAATAGGGAAATAAATAATTTTTATGTTTTTCTAGATGTATGTTGATTGAACTTCTCTCTAAATTTTAAAATTGCACAAGACATATTTTTCTTTTTCTTTCATTTATTGTATGACCTGTCTTAAGCAGAAGTAATAAGATTCATTAAAATAATATCTTATTTGCATTTGCTTCATTTACATTTAAAATTTTTCAGAAATAGTCTGATGAAAAGTATAGTAATATATTCTTACAAAATAATATTTACTCACTTGCAACGAATTACAAAAGAAAAATGGTATCTTCAAAAATATCATATGTATGTGCATTTTTAAATAATGCAGAATATTTTTGTAATGTCATATTGTTTTGAACAAGGTAAAAGGAAATCTAGCATTTACATTTTTAACCTATAAACAACTATATCTACTGCTTTCAAAAACTGGTATTGGGAGGAGAATTCAGTTGGTGTGGGAAGCATACAAATTAAAAAATAGTATATATGCATTTGTAATAAATACCTTGCCTCTCTCTGCAGCTGAAATATTCCAATCTTACCAGCTAGCCAGTCTTTATGTGACATTTTGTGGAAGTAATAAGTCTTAATTTTATTTCTAATAATATAAATTCAACTCAAACTAGCTAAAGCTACTAAAGGAGTACATTGCTTCATGCAAAGTGGAGATCCCATGGTAGAATTGCCTTTAGCTATGTTTCAAATGACCATATATAGACTAAGCTTTTCAGGCTTTCCATTCTGCTCTCTTTTTTGTTGGCCTTTTACCTATATCAGACAGGCTCTCTCTGCATGGCCACAGAAATAGTAAGGGCTGCTCCAGGTTTACGTTATCCTTGGAGTTTTTATCTCATACCTAACTTGAGAATATAAACCCTGAGTGCACATGGAACATAGTCAAGGACAGATAATATGTTAGTTTGCAAAACAACATTTAGACAATGTAGGAAGATTAAATTCATACTAAATATCTGTTCCACCACAGATGAAACAAGAAACAAGAAATATGAAACAAGAAATCTATAACAGGAGGAAAACTAGAAATTTACAAACATGTGCAAAATAAACACACTCCGGAAAAAACAGTAAGTCAAAGAAGAAATCAAAAGAGAAATTTTAAAATTATCTTGAAGAAAATGAAAACATAATGTACCAAAACTTATAGAATAGAGCAAAAGCATGGCTAAAAGGAACATTTATAGCAAAAGATACCCATATTAAGAAATAGAATTATCTCAAGAAAACAACAACTAAATTTGCAATTCAAGGAACACTAAGCCTAAAGTAAGCAGAAGAAAGAAAATAGAGGTAAAAAATCAATAGGAAAGATCAACAAAACTAAGAGTTGCTTTTTAAAAGATAAAGAAAATTAACATCCCTTTAGCTAGACTAACAAAGAAGAAAAGAGATGACTCAAATAAATAAAATCAGAAATAAAAGAGGAACCATTACAACTAATAACCCTACAAATCCAAAGGATCATGAAAGACTATGAACAATTATATACCTATGAATTTGATATCCTAGAAGAAATGGATAAATTCATAGAACAACCACTAACCAAGACTGAATCATGAAGAAATGAAACATTTGAACTGATGAATGAGTAAGGAGATTGAATCAGTAAACAAAACTTCCCAAGACATAAAATTCCAGGACCAGATAGTTTCCCTATGAATTCTACCATACATTTAAAGAACAATTAATGCCAGTTCTTCTCAAATTCTTCCAAAACTTGAAGAGAAGGGGAGACTCCTAGATTCATTGTTTAAAAATTATTTTTTTAAATTTGTTTTTGTTACAGATAGTTTTTCTTTTTCCCCCCATTGATATCCTCCTCCACATCCCCCCCCCCACCTCACCCTCAGCTTTGTTGCCTATATTCATTGGTTATGCATACATGCATATAAGTTTTGTGGTTTATCTCTTCCTCCCCAACACCCTCTCTTCTGGGGTTTGTCAGTCTGTACTCTACCTCTATATCTCTGGGTCAATTTTGTTCATCAGTTTGTTTAGTTCATTATACTGGAAGAACATATCTTGATTATGGATTGGAAGAATTAACATCATCAAAATATTCATACTACCCAAAGCAATTTATAGATTGAATGCAAAACCCATCAAAATACCAATGACATATTCTACAGAACTAGAATAAACACTCCAAAAGTTTATATGGAACGAAAGAAGACCCCGAATAGCCACAGCAGTCTTGAAAAAAAAGTACAAAGTAGGAGGGATCACATTACCAGATATTAGGTTATACTACAAAGCCACTGTAATCAAAACAGCCTGGTACTGGCACAAGAACAGACAGATAGATCAATGGAACAGAACAGAGAACCCAGAAATTGACCCAAGACAATATGCTCAATTAATATTTGACAAAGGTGGCAAGAGCATACAGTGGGGTCAAGATGGTATCTTCAATAAATGGTGTTGGGAAAATTGGACAGCTACTTGCAAAAAAATGAAGCTAGACCACCAACTTACACCATACACGAGAATAAACTCAAAATGGATAAAAGGCTTAAATGTAACTTGTGAATCCATAAAAATTCTAGAAGAAACTGTAGGCAACAGAATTTCAGACAGCATACACAGCAGAATTTTCACTGATACAACACCTAGATTCATTTTGAGGCTGGAATTACCCTGATACCAAAGCCAGATGAAAACATTACAGTAAAAGAAAACTGCATCCAAATTTTGTCTATTTTAAATAATACTTCAATGAAGATAGGGGTGCATATATTCTTTTCAATCAATGTTTTGGGTTTCTTTGCACATATTCCCAGAAGTGGAATCACTGGATCATAAAGCAGTTCTATTTTTAAATTTCTGAGGAAACTCTATACTGTTTTCCACAGTGGCTGCACTGCACCAATCTTCATTCCCACCAACAGTGCACAAGGGTTCCCTTTTCTCTATATCCTTCTCAGCACTTATTGTTTGTTGATTTAATTGATGATAGCCATTCTGACAGGTGTGAAGTGATATAGCATTGTGGTTATGGAAAGAGACTTGACTTTGGATAGTGAACACAAAGTACAATATACAGATGATGTATTACCAAATTATATACTTTAAACCTATATAATTGTATTAACCAATGCCACCCCAATAAATTCAGTAAAATTAAAAAAAAAAACTGCAGGCCAATATCTCAAATATAGATGAAAACATTCTCAACAACATTCTAGCAAAGTGCATCAAATAGCATATTAAAAGTATCATACACCATCAGTGAGTGGCATTTATCCCTGGAATACAAGGATGTTTCAACATCCACAAATTAATAAATGTTATACACCATAGAAGTGGAATGAAAGATAATTCTATATTCAAAATTCAACATTCTTTTATGATAAAACTCCTAAGAATACACAATACAATATACAGATAATCTATTACAGATTTGTATATCTGACACCTATATAATGTTATTCCAATAAATTCAATAAGGAAGAAAAAAAAGAAACTGGGAACAGAAGGAATATACCTCAACAAAACGAAGTCTTTATAAGACAAACCCACAGATACAATCATACTCAATGGTGAAATTGTGAAATCTTTTTGCCATGATCAGAAACAAGACAAGGATTCCCACTCTCACCACTCCTATTCAACAAAGTATTGAAAGTCTTAGAGCAATTAGGCAAGAAAAAGAAAAGACATTGGAACTGGAAAGGCAGAAGTAAACTTGTCACTATTTGCAGATTATATAATCTTATATATAGAAAATTTTAAAGACTCCCAATAAGCCATATTAGAACTAATAAATATATGAAAAAATCAGATGCATTGCTATACACTAAAAACAAATTATCTGTAAAAAGAAATAATGAAAATAATCCCATTTACAATAGCATCAAGAAAAAGTAAGAATCAAGAAAGGGAAGAATATCTACACTTAAAGAAACTAGATTTTGATTAATAAAATTGAAGAAAACACAAACCAGTGGAAAGTTATCTCACGTTCATGAATCAAAAAATGAATGTTGTTAAAATGTCCATATTACCCAAAGTGATCTACAAATTCAGTGCAATCCCTATCTAAATCCCAGTGGCATTAAAAAAAAATGATTGATTGATTGATTGATTTTAGAGAGAGAGGAAAGGGAGAGAGAGAAGGAGACAGATCTATTTGTTATTTCACCCATTTATGCATTCACTGGTTGCTTCTAGTATGTGTCCCAAAGGGGGATTGAACCCTCAACCTTAGTGTATCAGGATGATTCTCCAACCAAATGAGCTAGCAGGCCAGGGATCCAGTGGCATTTTTACAGAAATAGAAAAATAAATAGTAAAATTGTATGGAACCACAAAAAAACAAAAGTAGCCAAAGGAAACTTGAGAGAGAACAAAGCTAGAGGCATCATACATCCTGATTTGAAACTATAGTACAAAGCTATAGTGATCAAAACAGTAT